GAGAAGAGAGAGAGAGAGAGAGAGAGAGAGAGAGAGAGTTTGTGTTTGTGTGCATGTGCATGTTCGTTCATGTGTGTATGTGTGTGTGTGTGTATGTGTGTGTGTGTATGTGTGTGTGTGTGTGTATGTGTGTGGTGTGTGTGTGTGTGTGTGTGTGTGTGTGTGTGGTGTGTGTGTGTGTGTGTGTGTGTGTGTGTGTGTGTGTGTGTGTGTGTGTGTGTGTGTGTGAGCATGCTTGTGTGTGCATGCGTGGGCTTGTGTGTGCATGTGTGAGTGTGTGTGTCTGTCGGCATGCTTGTGTGTGCGTGCATGCGTGCATGTGTGTGTGCGTGTCTACATGCATGGGCTTGTGGGCAAACACATGTATCTGTGGTAGCATGTGTGCCAGTATGTCTGTGTTCATGTGTTTCAGTGTGTGTTTGTGTGTCTTCCCTACATGTCTCCCTATGTATGTATGAATGTGAATGGCAGCAATTATTATTCATACAAGTTTCCAAACAGTTTCAGCCTATTTCCATGCTGATGAAATAGGTGATCATTGCTTCAGCTGTTACATAATTTCTCCTTTCATCATTATTCTTTTGGGAAAACTAATCCTCAAAACAAAAGACACTTTTCAAATACTTCCTTAGTAACTTTCTTTGCTTCCAGTATTAGTTCAAATACTTATAATATGCTTCTTAATCTAACTTTATGACACAAAAATACAGTATAAAGTCAATGCAAACTAACTTTCTGATAAACAAGTAGGATATTTTAGGTAAATAATTTGCAGATTATAAGATAATAACCAGTTTTTCATTTCTGTCAAACAATTTTTCAAATACAGTGAGAAAAATATATATACATATATGTATAATGCATTAGCTTACATATATTTCTTTTCCTTCTCACAAAGTAGTTACCAGACATGACTTAATCCATATCTTTTTGAACAATATTACAAACCATATTTTCTGCCAAACTTCATATCAAATCAGTTTAGATTTTCACCTAGTCATAAAATTCATTGTAAAGTCACATTTGACTGAATTCCTTTATTTCTTAACTATATGGCACATGTGCAATGGATTATTTTATACCTGGAATGCCATTTTCATTAATTTCCACCATATAGTTTATCAGTGACTTATGTATTTAATTATTTTTAAGGAAAGAAACTAACTGAAAATACTAATTATTCCAACAGATTTAATTACATGAAGTTTGTGCTCGCATATCTACAATCCAAAGTTATGATGTATACTTGTACTGGTGTAATCTAACTTCTGAGTGTGTAATGGATGTTAAAACACTCTGGAAAGTATATTGATTATACTTTCATTTTTCCACATTTTCCTCCATTTATTGTAAAGGATATACATACTCAGGTATCTTTAGAGATTTAATGATGGCAAAGGCATGCCACATATTGATGATCTTATCCATAGAAAATTATGGAACCATACTTTTCAGATTTATTGTTTCTTTTGTCATGAGATGATGCATATAAATATATAAATGTGATGTGAGCAAATATATTCATTGGATCATAATATATGTAATATGTATCAAAGTCAATACAAAGTATTTGACACCTAAAAAAAACTAAACCTAAAGCATTAAATCAAATTATACACACACAGACACACAGACACACACACACACAGACAAAGACACACAGACACACACCAGACACACACACACACACCAGAAACACACCAGAAACACACCAGACACACACACACACACACACACACACACACACACACACACACACACACACACACACACACACACACACACACACACACACACACACACACACACACAAAACTTTGATGGAAAGAAGAATCCAAACAAAGAAATGTTTACTGCAACATCAGGTACATTGACTTTTCTGTATTGTATAACCTTGTCATGACTTCCTGTTATTAAAGCTAAGTAAGGCTACTGTAATACATTTTTTCAAAAAGTCTAGCTTATATCTATAAATTATTTGGGTTATCTACAGTAATCCTTCCCTTATTCATATTCTGAGTTGTCATACCTTACAGTTTTGCAATATACATGAGTTTGACCGATCGTGAGAATTTTCCCTACCTTCTAAGATGAAAATCTAAAAATCCTCCATTTCAAAGTGAATGGAAAAGTATACTTTCTTTCACTCTAAAAGCAGCAATGAGAGAGATTCCTTATCACAGTTTTCAAAATGTTACAAATTCTTTGGCTTTTTATAAATACTAATCATAATTTGTTAATGCATACTGTACCTTTCACAAACATAACATTTGATTTATGTTTTTAAGGTAAACACACTGCATTTTGTTACTTATTTGTCAGTTGTACAATAGTACAAAAATTTGTGTTGCAGTTCATTAACAACTTTGTTCCTTGCTATTATTTTTCAATGAATGATTAGCAAGGTAAAAAAAAAAAGTAGAAAAAAAAGAAAAAGAAAAAACAGAAAGAAAGACTGAAAAGAAGAAATAAAAAGTAGCTAACTTTCTATGACTTACTGTGTTACATATCATTAAGTTAAAAAAATAATTTATCTACTATATATCTATCTTGAATAAGACACTTGTTGCTATCTCTGAACTGTGCGCCTTAATCTGATGACACAGTGATTTTATTATATCAATTCTATTTACACATACATAGTTTTGGAAGTCTATAGTCATCAAGGAATCAATGACAGGCCTATTTTATCTCACCTGTTTAACCCATTCCTTGAATTTTAATGAAGAAAAAAATATATACATATATTACTAACCTGAAAATCCTGACTAATCAAAGAAATGAAATAAAAAGATGAGGGCAAGTAGGCCAAATAATTGACATATTAGTGACTAAGCACTTCTGTAGACATCTATGTGTATACAAAACTGACAAAAGAAAACTACTTGTGCACAGTGCATGTGCGCCAGTGCCAATGGGTTAAAGACAGTTTTTATAATTCTTTTTTTTTTATCTTAATCACAGTATTCTAGATTCTTAATGGCCTTAATCATACTACCAATCATCATCTTCATCCTCAACACCTTCAAACAGCCTATCATAACAAGCTCCATTCGCTTTGTTGAAATGATCATAAGGACGTTCTTTGTCTAAATAGAGCATACACAGCCAGCAGAAATCTACTCTGCAACGGTGACAAGTCATCTTGTTGCAACCAGAGATTTTCTGTCATAGGAAAAATTGGATCTTTATTACTTACCCCTGCAACAATATCATTCAGCAACAACAGAAATAACAGTATCTACAGTCAATTCCTACAATGACAGAAAAATGGAGAAATGGGAGACTGAATTTAATTTTCAAATAACAACAACAAAGACTCACCTCAATCTTGGCACAGCATTTGGGGCACTGCTTTGAATTCTCTTCCAAGTAGTTCAGGGAAAGGTACTCGTTCATCAGCAATTCCATGTACTTCTTGCCAAATCTTCTTTCAAGTTCACGCTTGGCATCAGCATCTCCACTTACATACAGATCTAAGGCTTGCCTTGCTTCAGTCTTCTTCAGCTTACAAGGCTCAATCCCATGCCACCCAAATCTGTGACAAAAAATGTATATTTTATATATGAACATGCATTCTTATAACAATACGATTTTCAGTATTACAATACTAAAACAAAATGTGGGATTTGCATTACCTCAGTCAAATACCTATACAAGTTACAAGAATTTCTTTTAGAAGATTTTGAAATCTAACCACAAATCTACTGCTTATTAATACATCTGATCTCTCTATTCCCCTTGCAATATGAACAAGACCTACCTAAATATAGCAATGTATTCCTGGAGAGACAACTGCACACATGCCCCTAAAATCATAGCAATTGCCTCACCTGCACAAACCACAGAAGACAAACTTGCATGAAGGACAGGACCCTTGGCCTTCTTCTATAGTCACAGGATACTGGCAGTGCATCCTTGGGCAAGGCTGGATATCACCCAATGCAGACAGTGTAGTGTTGAGCAACATTTCATCCCATCTCTTGTACATATCTTCTGAGACAAGCTCTTGAACCTATAAAATTGTTTGATCATTTAGATTCTTTGACTATATTAATCATAATAAATCACATATCCAATAAATTCAGTTCATCCACATATATATTTATTAACTGCATTTCAAACTCTAACCAGCAAGAGTGACACATACAACATAAACATTGAGACTATTAAATTCTGTACTGTGAAAAAGGAGGAAATTTTAAATACTTATTACTTTCCAAGTTAATATAAAAATATATTCCCCTGAATTCCCACCAAAAATGTATTGAATTAAATCAAATGAAAACTAACTAAATCAGAACTTTAAAAAATGATGAAAAAAATGGAAAAAATTACCTGTTTTGGGTTGGCTTCTGATTCACAGTCATCCTCAGGACATCTGAGGAACTTGATGTTTCCCTCATTGATCTGCACCTCAAAATATGATGCCATACAGTCTTTACAATATACATGATGGCAAGGCCAGAACTCTAAACAATGACTCCCTAGCTTATCCATAAAGCAAACTTTACATTCAAAATTCTTATTACTGAAGACTTTCCTTCTCATGTCTTCATCATAGTCACGCAGCAATCTGAGCATATTTGTGTTTGGAGCAATGTCCTGAATAGTTCGAGAATCAAGGCTCAGGCTACCATGTCCTGCTTCACTTACAACTGCAGCTCCTTCAGTTTTGCCACTATTATCACTATGGGAATTATCACAGATTTTGCCTTCATCACCATTAGCACCAGTTTCCCCCTGAACCTCCTGTTGTAATGCCCGTCACCAATGTTCATGCTCTGAACAGGCTTAATAATATCTAAATTTAATTCATCTGTAAAACCAAGGCTTTCGAGACTGCTGTCTTTCAGGAACTGGGCCCAGGTGAACATGATAACACTTCCTTTGTTCTCTTCCCATTGAGCATCCAACTGGGTGCAGAGCTGAGTTAACTGGAAGTAAAACAAATATGAAATAATTTCTGAATACAATAAATTCAGTTTAAAATAATTTTAGGTCTCAGGTTCAAACCAAGTTATCAAAAAGGTCTTTCAGTATAAGCTTTTTGGTGAATTACATAAACCAGTTGCAGTGCAAATCAACAAAACCTAAAATGCATATACTCTACCTGTGCACGATTAAGCCACTTGCAGGAGAGTGTGAAGTTTGGTGGATGCTCCGAGGGGTATGTGGAGGGATATGTGAAGTGAAGGTAGAGTGGAGGCAAATGTTCCACCACAAGCCTCTGTTCAAGCACTTCATCTGTGGAATGTGCAAGAACTTATAATGGTTTCTTTTAAAACTATTTCATAAAGCTAAAAGTGTAGTATTAATCTAGCTTTTATCATCCTTCCCACACATATCTGCCTTGACATCTAAAACAATGCTCCTTGATTACAAAATTAAATACTGAAAAGTATGCAGAAGAAATATACAACAGTTGTTTCACTTCATTTTTAAACACTACTATCAAAACTACCTTGGAGATAACTTGGCTGAGAATAATCAATACATCAAGTGAAAGCATTTAAAAATCAAACAAACTTGAGAAGCCATTTTCTAAAAAAAAACATACTCCCAAACTTACTGAAAGCTTAAGAAATCCACTGACATAATCTATAGCAATGCATGGCATCTGAAGTGGATATATGGTATTTAGTTTTTTACAGTCAATAGGAGACATGCTTATATATGCAACTCAAAAGTATCAAAAAACAAATCATGACAACAAATTCAGTGAATTATGAATGCATATATGGATTCTTTTGACCATACAGAACAACCAATGCATTATGGAATGAATATACATATGGATACTTAGGATTATATGGAGGTTTAATATTTTGGGGGCATACTTAAAGCAGATTCATGATAAAGCAATTCAATATAGTCCAGTATATATAGATCACTGACTGTATGAGTGTGAAAAAACTTTTTGTGAATAACACTAACTATATGCCTAAATACACAAATAATATTTTAAGAAGTATAATAACTGTTGTAATATAACATTAAACAACTTTCAGAATATGACTTACCATTTTCCCCCACTCTTTTAGAAAGAATTGAGAACTCCGGAGGTAAATCTAAGTGTATCGCAAGTTCTCCTCCCTTTAAGACCTCATCTTTCACAGCCAAGTCTTCTTCTGCATCATGATCCAATGCTGATACAAAGGAGTCCTCATATATGCTTGCTAAGGCCAGCAGTTCATCATCTTGCTCTTCTCCATCAAGAGACATACTCTTGAGTTCCTGTAGGATAATGGTTAAACCATGAGAGACAAGTAATAATACTTTTTTATACTATAATATTCTCTGATTGTTTATGTAAACCCAATAAATAGGATACACAGATTTTGCTATAAAAAAACAAGGCTGATCATGAAATCTGACAGAAGCACAGATACATTTCACTAAGCAACAATTTTCTTCTCATTCTTCTTTTTCACTTACAAACTAGACAAGCCTTAAGGATACTATATTCCCCTTATAATATGATTTCAGTCTATTTCCTCAAATTGATTATATCCTTATTAGTGACCCCTTAAATGGTTTACAATGTAACAGAAAAATGAATAATGAAGCAAACATGTAATGGTTAGGTACATTCCATACCTTGTTTCAAATCTGAAGAAAGAAAGAAAGAAAGAAAGAAAGAAAGAGAGAGAAAAGAGAAGAGAGAGAAAGAGAGGAGAGAGAGAGAGAGAGAGAGAGAGGAGAGAGAGAGAGAGAGAGAGAGAGAGAGAGAGAGAGAGAGAGAGAGAGAGAGAGAGAGAAAGAAGAAAGAAAGAAAGAAAGAAAGAAAGAAAGAAAAGAAAGAAAGAAGAAAGAAAGAAAGAAAGAAAGAAAAAAAGAAGAAAGAAAGAAAGAAAGAAAGAAAAAAAGAAAAATATATATAATATTGATTATAAACTAGCATTAATATACTTTTCATACTAACAACATAAACAAATTGTTGCAGAAAAACTATAATCTGACAGTTATGCAATATTTCCAACAAATATATGTACTGGATATAATCTTTCTTTACATGAATATTAACAACTTGTAACTTATCCCATCAGACCAAATACAAACAAGTCTAATTTTAGTTCAGTCCTCAGGAGTGTTACAATGATATTTATTAATAGTTAGAAAGTAACCAGGGATTAGTATTATCATCTGGAAACAGTTTATTGATTACAAATCATTGGTTAATTTTCCTCATGACATGTTTTATGATATGTGTTTTGATTAGTACTTTCCACACCATGTGCAATCCAATACCAATAGTAAGACACAATGGGTTTAATTACGAGTCACATGAAAACACTAAATAAGATGATAGGTACATTTGCTCCATTCACTTCATTGTACATGGAGGCAATTTTAGTGAACTATTCCAAATTTGACATATGAATTATCTGGAAAGAAGGTATGACGCATGGAATAATTATATATTCGAAAAAGAATAACTGTTAGTATTGTGACAAATTTTGTGAAACATTCTGAGCGAACCCTTAATACATATATGTAAATACTACAAGCTATACCCACAGTCACTCGAAATAGAATGTTTACTCAGCAAATCGCCTCTAGACTCATAATGATCGGGAATATTCGGCTTCTAAACACAAAAAAACGAAACCACTGTCAAGAATTCAGAATTATTGCCAAGGATGTTTTTACTCTATATTCAGATATGTCACAAACTCAAACCCATATTACCTGTAACTTTCAACGTTGATAAATAATGTAGAAAAAGAGGAGGTATGACTGTGTTCCTCCTCCTCTTGTTACAGCGAGAACAGCTGACTCGGGAGACGGGCTACGGGCGCATTTTATTCTCTCCTGTTGCGGCAAATGGTGCAACATTATAATGTGAATACGTTTTCGGTAGTTGTGGTGCAATGTCTGGATATCTAGATCATATCCAAGCCTTGACAACCGGCATCAGACACAATATCTAAGTAGTATCCAATTTGACGCTCGTTTAGAAATTCATGTAACTACCGGTACACCTTGACGGTGGGGCAATTAAAGAAGTTTACAGCCATTGGTAACACTTTTAGCGCATGGTCTTACTATCTCGTTTTTAAAACAATTTCATAACCCTGATATTTTTTCATTTTACTGATAAGATACAAAATGGTTGTTTCCATTTAGTTTCTATGCCACGTCACATTGTATTCCGTCAATAATGTCATGGTTACTGGATTTGTTATTAGCTTTCAGCTAGGACTGACTTGTTTCGTTAGCTGCTTATAGGAGAGTGTGTCTTACATTCTTGATTTTTATGTAGTTCATACCAAACGGGAGATGCAGATTCTGAAATCGAGTCAAAACAGGTATATGTAAAACGTGGCGTAATCTTTCCAAAACCGTTAACAGTGAGCCATATGTATTTTTACACATCAGAGACAAGATTCGACTTCCTTAATCCAATTTGATTGCTAATTTTCAAATTCCATACACATTTCTCGATTTCTTCACAGCATAACATAAATTAAGTAGTCGAACTACTTAGTTTGATTGGAAAGAAATGCAAAGGCTAGGGCGATAAATATAAAAAAAATTAAAAAATGATATAACACCAGTCTAATGAATTCACCGGTTTCCCTTTTCGAGTTTACAAAATAAATAAAAATACCAGTAAGACGAACGAACCTCTACTTTCACTGCACTTATTTCAGAAGCAAACTGCAAAATTGTGTGTGTGTGTGTGTGTGTGTGTGTGTGTGTGTGTGTGTGTGTGTGTTTGTGTGTGTGTGTGTCCCCCCCTCTCTCTCTACCTCTCTTCCTCTCTACCTCTATTTCTATCCCTCTCCTCTCCTCTCTCTTCTCTCTCTCTCTCTCTCTCTCTCTCTCTCTCTCTCTCTCTTCTCTCTCTCTCTCTCTCTCTCTCTCTCTCTCTCTCTCTCTCTCTCTCTCTCTCTCTCTCTCTCTCTCTCTCTCTCTCTCTCTCTCCTCTCTCTCTCTCTCCTCTCTCTCTCTCTCCTCTCCTCTCTCTCTCTCTCTCTCTCTCCTCTCTCCCTCTCTATCTATCTATCTATATATATCTCTATCTCTATGACCTCACCCAGGCGCGAGAGGTTGCAACTGCCGCCTGGAGGTTACCGCTGTGGCTGTGGTCCACGGTCGGTAAGGACTAAGCTCTGTCGTGTCAGCATTATACACGAGTCGGCACATGTCGGGCTCCCCACATAGCCCGGGTGAGTCTCAGCTTCGCATATCGGACTTACCTTTATCCTCTCTTTCTCTCTCTCTCTCTCTCTCTCTCTCTCTCTCTCTCTCTCTCTCTCTCTCTCTCTCTCTCTCTTCTCTCTCTCTCTCTCTCTCTCTCTCCTCCCTCCCTCCTCCCTCCTCCCTCCTCCCTCCCTCCTCCCCTCTGTGTGTGTGTGTGTGTGAAGGCATCATTTCAGTTTTTTTCTTGAGAGGGGACAAGGATGGATAATCGTGCGAGATTATAATTTGTGTGCGTGTGTGTGTGTGCATGTTTGTTCGTTTGTGGGTGTGTGTGTGTGTGTGTGTGTGTGTGTGTGTGTGTGTGTGTGTGTGTGTGTGCGTGTGTGTGTGTGTGTGCGTGTGTGTGTGTGTGCGTGCGTGCATGTTTGTTGCGGTGTGTGTGTGTGTGTGTGTGCCCATATAGAGAGACTGATAACCTTAGGAAATATTTTAAGGAAACCAGCTGCATGCGTCATTGGGAACGCGTTTCTTATATATTCCTCATTCAGTTTGCATAAAAGTATTTTCTTTTCTGTTTCTGGAAACAGCAGTGCTGGAACGACTTAGATGCTGTCTTTAAGTAGATGATTTTGTGCATTGCCCCTTTCTCAGCAATTTCCTTGCGTGTTTTTATTTGACTATATTATGGCATTTTCAAAGCAAACCGCGTCATCGTCCTCGAAAGTTTAAGAACAGCCCTGGCATCATCAAAGACTTGCTATTAAAAGAATGAAGAAAAACTTGCTTCGATTCGACGAAAGGACATCCATCTATGAGGCCAGCTGAGTGGGGCGAAAATCCTTCACCTCACCTGCCCCTCTTCTCCTTCCCACCGCCCTCCCCTCTTTCTCTCATAGTTGGGCAGAGACCTGAAAAAGGCCCAAGACCTCGGATGCCATTAAGTGAAAGCTACATATAAGCCTATTTGGGAAAAAAGAGTAAAAACTGTCTAACATGTCATTTGAATTTATTCTTGTAGATGGCGCAATCATGAGATGAAAATAAAGCTTTCTGGCGTGGGCTTCACCGCAATGTTAAGATCAGCTGGATTTTGCGGTTCATTCATATCTTCTGTGTGAGATTTTAGGCTCTACGGGAAAGTTGATAAATTTCATATAGGTACAGGCAGGTGCATTCCTTCTAAATCAGTTATCATTGGTTTGTTGTGTGGTCACTGATCATTTCTGAACAGAAATGACTGTGACATGAAGATGCTGAAGATGGTTTTGAATGATGAATGTAAAACATCCACGCAAATGATCTGAGTTTGCCATACCATCCTTTATCTACGGAAGCTACTTACTATCTGAGAAAGTGTCAATAACAAGGTTTGTTGATATAAATGAAAAATATTTTGCTCTTGCGTCAGAATATTCCACGTATTTTTTCCTTATTATTTAGAAATAAATACGCTGTGGATATCTTGCATCATGTTACACATTATTTTTTGTAGTCTACTTTTGGATGTACCAAAATGAAGGAAAGAAAATACAGAAGACATGGAAAGCATTGAACTGTGCATCTGTTTAAACTTTTGTTTCACTTGGTTCCTAAACATTTTCAAATGTTTTAATCTGTTGATTCCAATCAACATGAGTTCATGCTGTGTGTGTGTGTGTGTGTGTGTGTGTGTGTGTGTGTGTGTGTGTGTGTGTGTGTGTTGTGTGTGTGTGTGTGGTGTGTTGTGTGTGTGTGTGTTTGTGTGTGTGGTTGTGTGTGTGTGTGGTGTGTGTGGTGGTGTGGGCGTGGTGTGTGTGTGGTAGTAGACGCATTCTACTCTATGTTATTGTGTGCATTCTTGGATCTGTAGGAAATGAATAAATTGGAAACGTGAATTATTCATATTTTTTGTGATTAGTATCATTTTGGGATATTGTAGAACTTATCAGATTTTAGTGTTTTTTCACCAAGCATGTAAGAGAAAGCAAACATGCATATGTTTTAGCTATTTGTAAACGCTTTTGTAATTATAAATTCATTCTACACTGTGTAAATATCATAGTATACATTTATCACAATATCCTTATAGTTACTCTCCCTTCTTATATACGATATCCTTCGACTTCAGTGTTTTTATTCGGCGAATGAAGAAAAGTAACCCGCACCTTTGCGATCGTATGGAAAATAAGTGACCCGATGATCACTAGATGGCTCTGCAGTCAGTGATAGGAGCCGAGGTTGAATTCCTCGTTGTCCACATAGCGATATATATATATATATATATATATATATATATATATATATATATATATATATATATATATATATATATATATGTATGTATGTGTGTGTGTGTGTGTGTGTGTGTGTAAACAGACATGTATATACATACATACATACATATATATATATATATATATATATATAGTATATATATATATATATATATATATGTGTGTGTGTGTGTGTGTGTGTGTGTGTGTGTGTGTGTGTGTGTGTGTGTGTGGTGTGTACATGTATGTACATATATACATTCATATATATGTATGCATACACACACACACACACAGACACACACACACACACACACACACACACACACACACACACACACACATACACACACACACACACACACACACACACACACACATATATATATATATATATATATATATATATATATATATATATATATATATATATATATTATATATATATATACATACACATATATATAATATATTATTACTTATTTTTATATATATATGTGTGTGTATATATATAATGTATCTATATATTTATATGTATGTATGTGTATATATATATATATATATATTATATATATATATATATATATATATGTATATATATATATATGCATATATATACATATGTGTAATCTATACTCTTAACAAAAGTCCTTTTAGCAGATCAGAAAACGAATGGGAAATTTTCACATTTGGAAGCAATTGATGCCGAAGTGAAATGGAGTGAAATCATGAGAATAAAAGATTTTGTCATTAAGATTAATATAGAATAATAGAAAATGCGAAATATCAGTAAAGGACTGGCCTTAGAAATTGGGAAACGGTTTGAAAATTTAAGCGAAATTAAGGTATACAGAAGGGACAGGAAAATGGATGTTTATTTTAAATAGTTTAAAGGTAGAATTCTTGTATATATAGTTCATAACTACAACTGTGATATATCTTGTTATTGGTCTCTTTCCCATAAGAAATTAACCTAATGAGAGAGGCGAATAGCATAAGATATTCAGAAATTATTCAGAATCTATGCATAGAAATATTTTCATCTACCTGTTTTATACAATAAAGTAGTTTACCCTCAATTTCAAAAAAAAATCTTTATTTTCTATTATACATTTAATTTCGTAGTACAACTTGTGCTCAATAGATGGCGGTATCTTCATTAGCGTCAAGCCATCAACCTTACTGGCATTTCCACATACGTCTTCGCGATTGTGTGTGGAGAAGGCAACAAACACACGTGTGGTTGTTGTGGATTGTATGATATTTAATGATTTTGTAATACAGCAAAAATGGTGAAACAAAGTGAGTAGTGCATATTGATTAGTCGGTGTTGTAGTTGTATGTGAGTGTTATGCTCTCTTGTGTCTCAAGTAAAGTGTATTGTATTTTCTTTTTTGCTGGAGAGAGATTTCTAGAAACCAGTTGAAGGACCTCAGGGTAAATCATATTTGATACCAGTTTCACAAGAATTTTCAGTATGTTTTGCTGTGATTGCTGTGTCCATTTTTAGCAATGTTACTTATGATTCCTTATTTGTTTATTACCCAGTGTAAGGCACAATAAGGCACAGCGACTGGCGTTTCGTTACTGAATCCAACAGTTCTTATTATGCTTAAATCGCCGATCAATATATTCCTTATGATGCCTAGTATCCATTATGATAGTTGCAGTCAATGCTGCCCAGCTGTGGTATCAGCATCACGTCATGGCCTCTATATCTTTAGGCCAACGACCAATGGTCTGTCACCAGGCTGTAGAGTATTTTTGTTGTGGAGGGAATATTACAGTTTTTCATGCGCGGAAATTATCATTTTGTCTACATTTGTGCGAACGGATCTGCGGACAGGTGATGAAACAAGTGCACAGTCAAAAGAATTTTGTGTGTGGGAGATGATTTTAAAAAAGTACTAAGCGTGCGCCGAAAGTTACCCAAGAACTACATTTGCACGGACAGAATTTGGTTGTGGCATAATTGAACAGTTAATGTTACTGAGAGCAATGCACAGAGATAGAGGGAAAAGGACACTGCCATCTTATAGAGCATAAGAAATAGTGTTATAAACAATACAGGTATCACTACTGCTGCCTCACTTTTAGTGTGGAATAGAAATATCCACAACTTCCTTACACAGCCAGAGCTTTTAATGTCCATTTATTATACGTGCTAATATAGGTGGAATGAATAGAAGGTAGGAAAGATTAGGTTTGGGTTTTTAGATTTCTATGATACCCTTGTGTATGGAGGATGCTTTGCTCTCAGTAACAAATACTTAAATCCCTTAGGTAATTTGGTGTGGTTACATACCTGTTTGGAAAATATGTTAATTTTTTGTGGAAGCATCATTGCAAGAAACGTCAGTGTATGGGCTGCAATGTGCGAGCAAAAGACATTAATGGTGCAAGCAATAGTGATAGTTTTTCACTAATAATAATGTTCTGAATTGATGACTGTTGAGTGATTGTTATTCATGTTTGATTTTAAATATGGATGAACTTTTTGTTTTGTTTTGTTCTCATGTTGTAATACAAATATCTGGAGAAAAAAAAACTGGGTGCAAGCAGAAAAAGATCTTAGCTGTGACTTATGAGCAGCGTCATGGCGAGCATTATTGTGTTTTCCTAACTGGGTTACATTGTGGTTCAACACAAAGTTTGAAACTGGGGAGTTTCACAAGCTGGTTGTGGTGTTGGTAAATTTTTAGTTTCAGACAACTATCCCATCTTACAATTATTAGTCCTTCTGTCAAGTATCCACTGTAATGTGCATGACACTCTTGTTATTTTCTATGGTAAATGATATAAATGGGAGTGTGAACCAAACACTTTCCTAACTTGGGGGCTTCACCCCTAGACCCTCATCTCATTGCTGTATTTCCCTATTAGGGGCTCTGCCCCTGGGCCCCTACCTGATTGCCATGCATTTACTCTCCAGATGGCATTTTTTATGATAATTTTACAGAATACTTTTACGTAACCTATAAGCAAAGATTTTGGAATAGATTGATTTCTCTCATTCTCTACTATCCAAATATATCAAAGTTGTGCTGTGGACAGCCCACCATTAGCAACAATCTCAGCTCCTATTGCAGTAAAACGTGGATGCTATACACAGAAACAATCACTATATTGTGTAATGCAGGGGGGGCTGTTCCACCTGTGACCCCCATAACCCCCAATGCCCACAACAGAAGATAAAGAGTCAGGGTAGAATGTATGACTGATACACAATTTTGAGATTTATTTATGCCCTCTCTTTGTATCAGGAATATCACATCAAGATTGTAGTTTGTTTGTGATGATGATAATCATTAGATTCTTCCTTATTATACAAGAATAGATTTAATTATGCAAATATTATCTGTAAGGGCATGTTTGTTATACACAAAATATTTACCAAAATTGGTGCTAATTGTTCCCAAAGGAACTGCACCCATTAGAAGCTAAGTCCCAATTACTCAAACCAACACTCTTCAGGGTATTCTTAGGGATCCACAAAAGTCGCCATATGATCCAGAAACCTAGACTCATTCTTGCATATCATCTCAAAAACTGGCAGGATATTTTACTGCATTTTTCCTCTATCAATAGGAGGTAGGAAATATGTGGTAGTAGGCAGTTCTAGTACGGCTGGCAAGTTTCTGCTAGCTACACAACATAAACCCAGTCCATTACGCCTATCCTTTTGTGTCCCATTGTCTCCTTGAGCCAATTGTACAAGCATATCTTGGTTTTGTTACTGCCTCTTTTCCTTATGTTGAATGAACACCGTAAGTATGAGATAAGAATTCTCATGATATGTGGTATATATACTATCACTACAGACACTCCCATTCCCCATTTCCTAAATACTCCTAGTCTCCCTGAACCAATTATACAAGTCCTTCTTAGCAACAGTCCTGCATCTTTTGATTATGAGTGATCATAGGAAGTTTAAAATATGTATTATTATAAACCCCTTTTTTCTTTCATTATCCCCCCCCCCTCTCTCTTTCTTCTCCCTCCTCTCTCCTCTAACTCGTCCTCCTCCCTTCCCTTTTTCTCTCCAGTTTCTATGGCAGTACTAACTTTTCACAACTTTGGTGCACTGCTGGTTGATTACTATGTGACATTCCAGTAATTACCATGTTAATTCTGTAGACGTCTAAGATAAAAGTGTTTGGTGAAAATTCTTAACCTTTTTGTGGCTGGACAGCAAGTCAAAATCAAGGCATTGAAGTTTATAGTGGTTATATGTATTTTCTTTTTCTTTCCATTCCAGGTGGAAGAGACAACAAAATAAAAATGCATCCTCCAGTGGTTAATTCTAATGGCCAATGTGAACTCAGACCACCAGCATTTGTGAGCAACGATGATGAGGATGAAGACCCCAATGAATTTCCTGGGGTCGTTGATTTGAACACTGTGTATGCTAACATGTCCAATTCAGAGTTTGGTCCGGGTACGATTAATTCAGATGAAGAGTATGATGGAGACAGTGATGAGGTAATTTTCTTTTGTATTGATAGAAAATAGATTACTTTATTATGTAATGTACTTGCTGCAATTATATTTACTAGCATCATATCCATAATTTCAACCTTTTAGGGTTTATCAATAAAGTTTGAATTGTTGCACATACAATCTTAAAAAATAAATAAGTTAATAAATTTCATATTTATAGAAGCTAGTTTACCATGATTTTTTAAGAAGATATAGTTCTCCAGTTGTGTGATTCTAAAGAAAGGAAAAACTAAAGAATACATTATTCATAAAGTATAGGAATGAACGGTGTATTTTCATGAGCTTAAAGTAGTATTGACATTTATGATTATGCAATCAGTTCAATGATAAAATGAATGTAGATATAAAAATTGTGTTGTTAATGCATTATTTATTAAGCATTGTAGAATACTATGACCAATTTAACCTCTCTTAAGCAGGTTCAAGGTCTGTTAAATGAAAAGAATTACTTTTTGCAGGATAACCTCAAGATTGCAGATGTGAAGGTGGCACAGACTTCTTTGCAGGTTTCAAGACCAATTACAAGTACAGTGATACATGGGATACAATCATCAGTTATCTGAAACCGAAGACAACTGTAGATGTAAAAAATACTGTTGCTAAAGTCGTACAAAGAGAGAAGGAGGAAAAGAAGGTAAGCAAGTGGTGTTTGCTGATGAAAAAAGTTCAAAGGAAAGTGGTAGAATAGGGTGATACATTCATGAAATTATTTTGTTTAAGATTGTGTATTGATTTTTTCAGTCATTATGAGTGCATATTTCATTGATTTAGTCAGCTTAATATATGCTGAAACTGATTAGGATGGCATGTACAGATATGCTATGCCTGTAGTGGTTTAGTTTATTAATTATTTTTACACACAGGCTGACCTATCTCATCTGTTTACCTTTTTCCTTGATTTTAGGAAATATTTTATCATTGATAACACTATAATAATTGTAATGTCGATAAGAACAATGATAATAATAACATCAATATTAGTAGCATTAGATTTTTTTTTTCACCCCCCAAAAAATTTGAGAAATGGGTAAATAAGGTGAAGGCATGTAGGCTATAATGACTAAATAACCCTTTGGTGGCTGAGCACCTGTGGAGCCATTTATATGTAGCTACATTACATGTAAGACTGCAGTGAATATCACATTTTTCTGGTAGGATTGGTTTGATTTAGTGATTTATTAAACATTGTGTATGCAAGTTGTTTTTTCTTGTTTTGAGTTATGCAAGATTCAGATGACATTCTTTATAGAAAGTTCTACCAGAATTTGATTATATAAGCTAGTTGTTAAACAGATATGCTTCTCAATAGATACATAAGTTTTAGCTCCTATTTTCATTTATGTGATTAATCATCTCTCTACCAACAAATCTATTTTTTTAAGATAGGTAATTTTTCGCACAACATTGAACAAAAGATTAAAACAAGAAAAAAAGTCCTAAATTTATACATACATTTCATTTGTTTTAAATAATTTTAATGTATTAGCATCACAAGCCTAAAAAATATATTTTTAAATCTTGTAATGATTGCTTTTACATATATTCATATTGTAAAAGATATATATATTTTACTCTGAATTTCAGATAAGGAAACAGGCTAAAAAGGACAATGATATCAAAGGTGAAGATTCCAGCTCAGATTCAGATCTAGACCTAGGAGATGATGATGAATATGACCTGGATATTGGTAAGTTTACTGATTGTACTTGATGTGGATAATATCACCAGCCCTCCTGTAAGAAGCTCTCTTATTATGGTAGATATTCCCACTAATCTAGTGAAAGCAGTGATAGCTTTGACTTTGTATTGTTGTTATAAGAGTTCAAAATGAGGGTACACAGGGATAAGTAAACATTTTATAAATGAGTCCATTGTGTCAGGATCAGGGTGCTGGCAAAAGCAATACCTGATACCCATCCCTGCAGGGCCTTGGCTTGAGATGTTCCCTTGATTGCAGGTGGATTCCTTCTCGTAGAGCCTTACCTTGATTGGTTGTGGTCAGTTCACTATAGCAATTGGAGGCACTTGGGTTGGTAGTAGTTTCAGGGAATGATTTTTGTGTCCACGTGGCACCTAAGCAGATCTCTGGTTGTGAAATCATAAGTCTGGATGTGTAGTGGGTCTTGTATCACCACCAGCCCCACACCACCTCTATAATTCCACCACTTCTACACTACCACTGCTACCACCACCACCACCACTCTTGTATTTACTTAATTATATAAGCATTTACATGTGCATCATTAGATTTAGTGTATCAATTCTTAATTATTGAAGCAAACAAAACCTCTTTTGCAGACAAGTTGAAACTAAAGGACAGTGAAGCCAAACGGATGGAGAGGCTGAAGACATCACAAAAGAAGGAAAGAAGACTCCAGAGGAGATTGAAAAAGAGATAGAGGAGGCCAAGTACTTTGAGACAGCCATCCCTTGTGAAGCAGGCAGCACCACCTTCTTAGAAATGAACTTCTCAAGACAAATTATGAAGGCAAGCTTTCTAATAAATTTCTAAGAAAGGAATAAGATGTATGATTTTTATGTAATATATAGGTACCAATGATATCCTATGCATATTTGCATATATAGATAGATAGATAGATACACATATAAAGCAAATAAAAGCTCTTAGAAAGGTAACTTCATTTCTCAAGTTCAATTTCTTGTGAATTTCAGGCAATCGAAGGCATGGGTTATCAAAGCCCCACACCAATCCAGGCCACCACCATCCCTATTGCTCTCCAAGGACGGGATATTTGTGGTTGTGCAGCTACAGGTACTGGAAAGACAGCTGCCTACATGCTCCCCATTCTGGAGCGACTGCTTTTTAAACCCAAGGAAGACTTAGCGACCAGGGTACTAGTGCTATTGCCAACTCGTGAATTGGGCATCCAGGTACGAATAACTATTTGTCAGATTTGTGTTCAGGTATGGGGATTATTTTGAAGGAGACAGTCTTATAGTGTGTGATCAATTATTATCAGTTGTTTTTTTCTATTTGAAAAGGAAAAAAGGACAGGTTTTCTCTTATCAACCCAAATTTTTCCATGACAGCATGGTTACATCACCTATGATAAGGGTTAACTTAATTTTGATTTTTGATGGAAGATGGTCCCCTTGTATTGAATAATTGGATCTATGGTTGAGGCTCTTATTGATTGGTTGGGAAGAATTGTTATGCAAAAATTTTCACCCTGTATTTCATTGACTTTGGTCAGAAAAACAAGATCTGTGGGAAAAACAGACAAACAAGCAAACAAGAAAAATATAGAGATATTTATGTAGACCGTCTTTCTTCCAGGTGTTGTGAAGTGACCAGAAATGTCGAAATTCACCTCAATCACTGTTGCCCTCTGTGTTGGTGGCCTTGATGTCCAGATTCAAGAACATGCACTAAGACAGATCCCTGACATTGTCATTGCTACACCAGGAAGACTTATTGATCACCTCCTCAATGCTCCAAACTTCCACATGAAGAAAATTGAGGTGAGTCAAGTGCTGGAGTGAGTAGAGATGAATAAGCAAAATAAAAGGAAGGGGAAAATGAATCATAATGATTTCTTAACTAAGAAATGAATTATGACCTCAATTTTGTCAATGTTTGATGTGATAATTGGTAAAGACTTATAATTGAACTTCATTTATTTTTTTTACAGATCCTAGTTTGGATGAAGCTGATGTATGTTGGAGGAGAATTTCGAAGAACAGATGAGAGAGATTATAAAGCAGTGTGCAAAACCCGTCAGACTATGCTCTTTTCAGCCACAATGACAAGTCAAGTTAGAGAGTTGGCTATTATGTCTCTTAAGGATCCTGTTAAGGTAATAGCCTCTCCATTGCAGGATATAGGTACACAATTATATACTAGATGAATAAACGTGTGGGGGGGGATGGATTGTGTATAAATGTGTGTGTGAGAATATTTCTGAACCTGTATTTATCATTTCCAGGTCTTTATAAACACAATACAGATGTTGCACAGAATCTTCGACAAGAGTTTGTTCATATTCATAAAGGACAATCAATTTACGTGATGCAGTCTTAGTTTACCTGGTCTTACGTTGCTTCAAATCAAATACAATTATCTTCACTCCAACTAAGGTAAGCAAAACAATATTATAACTGTTTTATGAATGGATTGTAGGGTTACTTTTATGCTATCTGACTTGATAAGAAACTAGTTAATGATTATTATTTATTTTATTATTATTATTATTTTTTTTTTTTCCAAATATTTCTTAGAACTTTTTTTGTCCCTACAGGTCTTGGCCCATCACATACATATTTTACTCACGACCTTTGGAGTAGATTCTGGAGAACTTCATGGTGACCTCAAGCAAACGGACCGTGTTCTAAACCCTCAAAAATTTCAAGGACGGGAAAATTGATGCCCTGGTAGCTACTGATGTTGCTGCTCGTGGTCTTGACATTGCAGGAGTCCAAACAGTAAGTTATTATTTATGTAGCATGAATATCAGCTGTCTATACAAGAAGACAGAGCAACATGTGCTATCAGATGTCTCAGTAGACTACAAAATCTTGTTTCCCTTCTAACCAGAGTTAAGAGTAGCTTTATCATATCTCACTCCTAAGGTGTGAAAAAGTTTATAGGAGCATGTATTAGGTAATGAAGAAAAGTGCTTGAACATCATAGTTCTTTTTTTGTATTCAGTCCATCTGGATAGGAAAGAAGTCTCTTTGAGGGGAGTTGACTTTGAGACATTTAATCCAGAGAGAATTGACAGTAGGTTCATATGTATAGATTGTATTGCTTGATTTAAAACTGTCATTCAATAACTATAGTATCAGACTAATGCTTTCCCTTGATTTTTATTACCATAATCAGGAATGATATAAAGACTTGATATATTAAGGAATGAGATTTTATGAAGGCACATCCCCCCCCCCTTTTAAAGTTTGGAAAAAGTTAAATATATATTGTAGTAGTTATTATTTTAGGTATTATCATTGTATAATTATTTATGTTTCTTCCAGGTCATCAATTACACAGTACCAGCAATATACAGCCGTTATGTTCGTGTGTTGGTCGTACTGCAAGAGCTGGAAGATGTGGTCGTTCAGTCAGTATAGTAGGGGACAAAGAATTCAAAATGTTGAAAGATATTAGAAAATTATCCAAAACACCATTATATGAAAGAGTGCTAGACAAAAGTAAGGACATCTGTTTGTTGGCACGTGTTTTTCCATTTTTGTGATTTAGGCCTGTGTCAATACTTGCATTGTAATATATATATAGCTAGTATTTTAAGCACTTTAATAGATTTTGATGTTTGTTTTGGGACGTCCAGCAATGTATATTTTTCCGGGTGTCTCTTATATGGGACACCTGTCGTAAATGAGTTAATATAAATTAATGTGTTTCTTCCACCAGAGATTCTCTCAAAGGTACATGCCAAGTTGATCAAAATGAAGCCAGTCATCCAGAAAGTCTTGCAAGAAGAAGAGGTTGACAAGCAGTTGAGGAAAGTAGAAGAACACCATAGACGCCATAGAGAAAGGCTAGAGAATCCAGAGCGCGAGAGAGTCTGGATGGACAGCAAAGATGGTAAACCTATGAGCAAAAAAACAAGAAACGTAAGTGGACACATGAATACAATCATCTCTCTCGAACTTCTCATCTCTTTCTCACTCCTCTCTCTTCTCTTCCCCCTCTTCTCTCCTTTCTTCTCTTTTGCCCATCCCCTCTTCTCTTCCTTTCTCTTCTCATCTCTTCTCTTCTCTTCTCTTCTCTTTTCTTTTGTCTCCTCTCTTCTTTTTTTTCTCCTATCTCTTCACTTCTCTTTTATCTCCTCTATCTTCTCTTCCTCTTCCTCTTCTTCTTCTTTGGTCCAACTGAATGAATAGTTCTGTCAGGCTGTATGACAGGGATGACCCCTCAGTTGACTAAATCACTGAGGAATCCCACTCATTTGCTCTCTTCTTGATTTCTGGGAATATTAAGAAAACTTACTATTGATATTTTTAATACCATTTATAACAATGATACTGCTAATAATGATAATAATAATAATAATAATAATAATAATGATAACAATAATAACATTATGAATAGTATTAGAAAAATATCCCAAGGTTTATGGAATGGGGTTGTCAGATGAGGTTTGGTAGATCTAATTGCCTCCTTGATGATAAGACTTTTATAGCCATCTGTGTAAATACAATTCGGGAAAACAATACTACTGTGGACTGCGTGTCCCCGGCACCAATGGGTTCACTGTTCATTCTTCAGGAAGGCTGAAACAAAAGGAAATGTTACAAGGGTGGGGAGGATGAGCCTTCAGGCCCACTATCAAAGAAACAGAAAAACAGCAGAAGAAGAAGGAGTTAGAGAGAATGGTTGGAGGGAAGGCAGGAAAGGGTAAAATGAAAATGAAGTCCCTCCGTTGCAGAGACCAGGATGAAGAAGGGAAATTCAGAGGTGAGCAACTTATGGAAATCTATGTAAATACCATATATAGATGGTTTTTATGTCACATTGCATTTTTATATAGTGTGTATCCTTTTTGAAGATAAGTATATCCTCTAAAAGTGTAACTGGTGTATGTATTGGGTAAAAATAGATGATGTAGCAATAAATATC